TGGCACAGTCAAATGCCCTGGCTGGCCCAGGGAAAGCAGCAAGAACATGCTTGTGGAGCCAGGCTTCTTGCTAGCAGTCGCCCATTAGGTTAGCTTTGCTGTGTTTTAAGAGCACACCTTGTCATATTAAACTGACACTAGTGTTGTTAAAAGTCTGTCCTAATACTTGTGTCCTAAAAAGTCACATCACCACTGGAGAGTCAGGCACTTGAAAAGCAGGAGGTCCCATATCATATCATCCACTACATAACTCGGGTGAAATATCTGCCCGTGAGGGAAGATTCTGGGGGTTGATTAAATTTGTCTTTGAATTGTGTGCAAACACAGATTAAATTGTTTTCTCTATGAAAGCTTAGAGCAGAGGCAGAAAGAGCAAATTTCCTGCAGCTGCCATCAATTAAGAATGATCTGCTCAGACACTCCTGTCTTTTCCACGTGGATCCAGAAAACAGGCTTTCTACATCTCCATTAGCCTAGGGAGATGCATTTGACATTGGTGGTAAAACTTCCTGCATGCTTCTGTTAAAATAATGCAAATTCTGTAGGCTAAACAAGCAACTACTCAGTTTCCAGAACTGGAAAATAACTTCTGACACTGCCTTTTTTACACATCACCTTTGACAAAGCCTATTAAATAGTGGATTCACTGAAGACAGGGTGGGGGGTTAACTTTCTTTTGCTTAAACGGGAAAGGACAAAGGTGATGATACAGATGGTAAAGCGATGTGAGAAGGCAGCTGTGAACTAATGTGGAGAGGAAATGTAGGAGAGGCTTTGGAACAAACAACTGGTCACTACAGAGCAGAAAATTTGGTCAAGCCTGGTGGGGAAAACTGAGCATTCGCCTGTCCATGCCTTAGGTGCCTCTTAGGTTGTTTTTTCCCATTTAGTGCCTGTGTTCTCCCAACACTGTTTCCTGGCCGTTCAGGAGAAGCACTTGTGGGTGGTACTGGTAACATTGCAGGGATGCTAAAACTTTCAGGGATGAATGGATGTTATGTACCACGTTGTAAATCCTCATCCGCAACTTATCTGTGTTATCTTATGAAACAGACCGGTGATATTCTTTGAGTGTTTATGTTTAAAGAGACGTATTAAGGCTGGAGCTGGGTGTTAGCTGAAACTGGGTCACTTCTCTGAAGGATGCTGAGCGGCAAGAAGGCAGTGGGAAGAGCAGTGAGGGCTGCACTTGTTGGGTGGGATATATGGGGGAGCTGGCACAAGGCTTAGCACAGCTGCCTATGTGGATGTGTTTTCTGGCAGTGGAGAGAGTATTTCATGTGACGGGCCTCTTGCATAAATGGGGAAAGAAGTATGTGCAAGGATAAATCGTTTCAGGCATGCGAGGAGAAAAACGATGCCCTGCCTTCCTGTGCTACTATGTGTTCTGGGAAATATATAGGCTGCAGACTTGCCAACTCAGACCAGTTAGTTAACGTGTTTGAAGTTGGGCAATGTTAGGGGCAAGATGCGTGGTTCATTTTATTAGGATGGTGCCTAAATGAGGGGGAGAGATTGTTGTGAACTGTGTTCTCATACACCTGCTTTCAAGGTGGCCTCTTCCCTTGTCTGAACATGACCAGGGTGACTCATTGGATAAGGTGTGCAAACATGCAGCTTCTCTTCAGAGCTTTCTCCTCTCCTTTCTTGCCCTATTTGGTTGGCTGCTGGTAAGGTTACAGTAAATCTAATGAAGGATTGTGGCAAGGACTTAACTCTTTCTAGAAGAAGAGTGTAGGTCAGCTGTAAATAATGGTGGGTGTTTGCTGTTCAGAAATCTCCATCTTTGCTGTAAAAGAATATAGTAAATTTCTTTTCAATGTATTGCAGACCATGTACCAGCCAGGATGCTCTTTATACATGGAAGGTTGAATACAGATCAAAAGCAGCTTCTCTGAAACAAATGTGCTGACAATGGGCTTGCAATGCTTCTTCCTGATGCAAACAAAAATTTATTTTCTATTATGGATTAATGGTGTTCCAATGTGTACTTTTTTAATACAGGCTCCTTGACCTTCTTCTGCAAGTATTGCTCAAATAGGAAAAACAAACTTTTTGCCACTATACTTATCTCAAGCTGAATGCAGTATCTTAATTCTGATTAAACCAAAAATCCTTGAACTGCCTACTGAACTTTGCAGAGCCATATAATATAAACTTACAGTGTAAAAACTGGTCTGTTTATTCAAAACAGGAGGCTTATTTGCAGAAGCTGCTGAGTCTATAAACTACTTCAAAATGTTATTTTGTCTTGCAAGATACAGAAAGAAATGGCAACTATGTCAATGGCAGTAAAACTTGATCTTAAGGGTTCGAGGTGACAGGAGTTTTTGCAAACCCAGGTGTTGTCAGCAAGTTTATCCTGTTCAAGTATTGCCTCCTCTGGGCTGCTGAAAATGTGTTAGTATCCTAGGAACACTTTCTAGACTGCATATTGCCTAGCAAGAGCCCCATGCTTTAAAAGAGTGCCTCTGTAAGGTAAGTTTACTTGATTTGTCAGGGAATGAGGTAATCTTTGCAAAGAAGCAAGGAGGGAGCCTTGAAATCTCTTCAGGTCGAAGCCGATAGCTGGTATTTGGTAGAGGGCAGTGCACCAGGGCTGGGGTTTGCTCTGCACGGCCGGCTGCTGAAGCCTCCTGCTTCTCTGGAGCAGCGGTGTGCGATGTGGTGGTGGAAGGGGGCAAGCAATGGTGGAAACCTCTGGCGAGCCAGAAAGTGGATCAAGGGCAGCAGCTCCTGTGTGCAAGTTTCACATCATGGTCCTGCAGTTAAACCTGCTGTTTCTTGTTGCTGTAGTCGCATCAGTGTGCCCCAGTAGTGCAAAAGCATGATCCTGCAGGCTTGTGTTGGTTGGATGTTCAGCTGTAACCTGCAGATCATTTTCTGTACAGGTGCTGCCCTGTGTGGGGTTTTTACTTCAAACTGAGGTACCTTGCACAGCCTCTTTTGAAGGCTATTATACACCTATTTTCAGACCTCCATCCCAGTTTTTCAAGACTGCTGTGAATTTTAACTTCATCCTCATGCATTTTGTCCCTGCCAGCTTTATGTTACCTCCAGATTCAATAATTATTCTCCATTCTGTGTCATAAATGTGTGGGCTTTCACTTTTGAACCATAATACAGGAAATAAGCTCTGATTTAATTGCATTTAATATAACTTAAAATGCATTTTTTTCCCTTGGAGCTTGTCCTAAGCTGAACTTATTTTGAGCAAATCTTTTTTTTCCGTTGATCAGCCTGAAGAATGTATATGCATGAAATCACCTTAAACATTAGGAATTTCTGTACCTTAATATCTGTATTTAAAATTCTGGAAGAATTGCTGTATTAAAGCATAGAGTGGCTCAATGTGGTTTTATGCAACAACATGAAGACAGAAGCTGGCCTTAGAGCACATTTAAAAACATGCTTGTTGCTGTTCCAAGCATACACAGCAACATTACCTGCTTCCTTTTTCTAGGCTGTATGTATTGAGGGCTGGCCTTAGATTGATCATAGAATATATTTGTTCATTTTCCAAAAAGTATGTCGGGCTAAAAAACATTACCTCTTCTACAGTGGGTTGAGTTCAAATTGTCAGATTCACGCATACACAGCTGCTGTATTTGTAGTAAAACCAGTATGCTGAAACATTCTATCAGTGGTAGTTAATTTTATAGAATGTAGATGAATTTTAGTGTCATTTGGGCCCCTGTGGTCTTCTTAGGTTGATGGTTACTCTGTAGCAACCTTCATAATCATTAAAAGGTAAAGCTGCATATATAATCCAAGCTTATGTGTTTGGTAACTTACCTGATTTATTTCCATTCTTATATAAAATGCACAGATTGCTCTTTTAGGCATACTAGTACTTGAAGCTTAAGTAAAAGAATATGGTGTTCAGGTGACTTGTCTTTCTCCTGCATGTCCAGTCACTGTCCCAAGCTGTTCGTAAGCTCTGCCAGTACTGACAATTAAAATACAAATGATAATGGAATTGTTTTGTAGCAGCACTTTGACACACAAATGACATTGACATTTATGAAGACTGGCCAGTTTCACAAGCACAGAATTGAGATAAAGATTTCTAAGGGGCTGTTGAATATTGCTTTTACATGTCTACCTTTGTCAGCTGTATTTAATATTCCATTAAAAATTCAAGGAAATTTCAGAAGAATAGCTTTTTAGATTTACTGCAAGCTAATTTTACCTTCAGAATAAAGTAGTTGGATGGCAGTAGTTTTTGTGTGCTTTGGCATTGTTTTGTATAGCAGCACACTGAAAAATGTGCTTATGCTAATAAACATTTTAATGATTTCTCATATTTACATTTTTAAGCTCCAGCAGAATGCAGCACATTCTGTGCTAAATGACTAGTTCAGCCAAGGAAATCAAGTTTTGTTACGTCTGACTAAACTTACAAAAAACTATTTACATTTCACATTTATGCAAATAATTGCATCTAGAGCTGAGTAAAAGAAAAAAGGCTTTTAGCGCCTGTTGGAGTTGAAATTTATCTTTTATAGTTTAGGAAGTTTTTCTCTTATAATTTGGATGTTGCTGGTTTTTTACCTTCTTGGAGCCAACTCCTGTACGTGCTTCGTTAGGACTGAATAAATCACAAAGTCAGGGCAGTGACCAATGTGGAAAGAGCAAATTGCTCTCCTCTGTTTTGTTAGCTGAGCTTCGGTCCGTTTGATTATACTCAGGCGCTTGCATTTGAAGTTAAGCACGTGCATATTAATTCCACTAAATGGGAAAGGATGACTTGCTACTTGAATGCTTTGCTGAATTAGAGGCTGAGCAACTGTCACTTTTCCAGTTACTGCTGTGACAGACACGTAGCCAGCGCTACTTTCAGAGGGAGAATTGTGCCAAAGCAGTCTCTTTAGTGACATCATTGAAATCATATCAAAACTTTCAAAATACAGTTTCCCATTTAAAATTATGGTCCTAGTTAATTGCGAGCAAAGGAGTGTAGATTGAAGTTTTTACATGAACTTTTTTTTTCCTTTTAGCTTATTAAAATTCCCAGAGTTGATCTGCCAAATGAACAGCATACATTTAACTTCTACTTGTCAGATGTTGGCAAAGATAATCCTCAGGGAAGCTTTGACTGTATCCAGCAAACAGACTCAAGGTAAGTTTTACTTAACGTTTTCTTTCATGGCAAATTTAAGTAGATTCTGTGGCTTTGAGCATATAGCGAAAACCTTTAGCAGAAGTATGGTCCTAGTAATGAGCTGCAGTAGAAAATTAATTCCTAGCAATAGCATGATTTCTTGCTAATTTTAAATACTTGCCTTTACATAGAATTCTTTTTGGTTTCGCTGTTGAAAAAGTAGCCTTTTGAGTACTTTTGATTCAAAGAAATTAACTCAATAGTTTGATTAACTATTAAGTAGGTATTCTTTATTGGCAGCGCTGGATGCACGGGGGATCGCTCCACCTATCGTGCACACCGTCAGGTCTAATTGTGCAGGTTAAATACATGTTCTACATACATATTCACTAGATTTCTGAGAAATGTTATACATATTCATTAGTTTTCCGGGAAACTATTAGCATATGCAAATGTCCTTTACGCAGGCGCATTGAAGGTCTCTGGTGGTCTTCAGGAGTCCTCCGGTGGTCTTCCATAGTCTTCCTCACTTGTCCGCTATTTGACCCTCCTCAGGTGATTCTGCGCAGTATGGTCTTTTACATGTTTTGATACATCAGTGCTTGTTAGTGCTCTTATTATCTAAGTTTTCATTAGTGGTGTAGAACCATATGGTTAGTTTAAGCTAAATTACCTACAAGGAAAGAACAAAGGCAGGAGTTCTTATCTTTTCCAGCCCTATCTATTCAAGCAAGGCCTCTACTTGTGCCTTCTCAACAAGATTGTAAATTCATCAAACATTTAATTAAGTTTTGTGATCGCTCATGGTTCCTTCTTGCTCATCGCTCCCAAGTACCAGTCTCTGACAGGCTTAATCCTTGACAAACACTAGTCTTTGGTATGTAAAGTTACAGAGAGACAACCATTAAGCAATTAGCAGTTCGTTCTCTATATCACTTTCTCACCTTTTAGTGCTATTTTTAAAAGCATTTGGAGCTCAGCATCATCCAAGCTAGACCAGATCCATTCTACAACCATATGTAAATATGACTATGGCTGGCAGCATGCTAGCATGCTGGCCCTGATGGATAGTTGTTTTATTTTAAGAACCACATAAGTCGGTGACCTTATCCATAATTGCATGACCATGGTGTTTCAGAACCCAAACGTAACACAGCAGCGGCTTGTCCTGGTCCTTTGAGTCAAAGTGAACAGTGTTAATGTCTACCAAAAAGGCAAGAAAATACCATGCTTTTACATTAAGTGTGCTTTAGCTTGTAGAATATTATGTTCAGCGTAGTATTAATGTAGTCCAGTGGTGTTGAATAACTGTCCCATTTGATTAACTAGGACATCACGGGCAGAGTTTGTGTATTGATCTGGGAAGCTGATAGCAAACACGTACACTGACATATGTGTCCAAAAGGTGCTGCTCAAGGTTGTCAGTCACAGGAGAGCTTCTGCCCTTGATTTCAAAACAGAGATTTGTCTAGATAGCGGGTTTTGGGAGCAATAAGAAAATGAGCTGATGTAATAGCTCTTTGCCTAACAGGAGATCTCTCAGCAACCTCATCCTTCTCTTTCTCGCCCTGCATTAGGTCTCTTCTACTGTAATACAGTCTGTCAGTGAACTCACTTAACTGACAGGACTGGCAAAAAGCCAGACAGTTTACCAGCAGACCTGGGGGAGCCTGGGGCAGTGTGGGTTTTGGGGTTTGGGAGTTTTTTGCCTTTTTTCTGTTGGTTTGTTTTTTATTAAACTGTATCTGAAAGGGGCCAGACAGCTGCCAAGGCTGGCACAAAGCAAGCGGCAGGAGTGCATGCTGAGGTGAGAGGTCCTGCCTCTGCTCCTGGCTTGCCTCTCCTGAGCATCTCTTAGGGCACTTTCTTCTTTGGGAAGGAGCACCTTCCATTGAATTAAATTGTATTTTTTTAAGTAAGATTAAATTTAAGCTGCTTTAGCTTTGAATCATTCTGAATAGCATGCCTACGTAGTTTTAATGTGGTTTTACTAATCTCTCAAATCTAATTCAGACTAGCTTTCACGACGTCCTTTGTAGCCAGCTCTCAGTTAGTGCAAAGTGCCTGCAAGGTTAATGCAAAACTTGTGTAGTGTTACATGAAGAGTCATTTAAAAAAAATAAAACCAGAAAGGGCTTCTGCAGGGTGTCTAGTCTAATTTTGTGCTCAAGGCAGGTCTAGCTTCAAAATTGGCTCGGATTTTGAAAATGCCTAGCCCAAGGAGAGGGATTATACAGTGTCTCCATTAGTCCTTGGCCATTCCTGTGGTGAAAAAGTACATAAAGGCAGTGATGTTCAAGAAAATGGGCAATGGGTAAAAGCTGTGCTTTAGGTGACATGAAGGACCTTTTTTCTGTTGTAAACGTGGTGACTTCGGAGCAAGGAATCAATACATACCTCTAGGCTATGGGCAAAACTGTAGCTGTATCATCTTGAAATATTGGGCAGTGGCTTGGTCCAGCTTTGTGACTTGCAGAAACGACGTGGTGGGACGTGAGATTCTTGACCCTTCTCGGAGCCTTGATGGGGAGGTTTTTTGGGGTGGTTAAAGTGTTTAGGGTCAGCTGAAGCCGGTGTCCTTTCTCTGGTCAGACCTGGTGCAACTGCGGGTGCCGCAGGGGGTACTCGTTAAGGGTGGTAATGATTAGGCCAATTTAAACGAAGCCACTGTTGGTCAGCCAAGGTGCCCTCCTGGCCGGGCTCCTCCATAAACACTTCCCGAAGCCCAACGCCTGACGCTATGGAGGCGACCTCACCGTCCTTCCCCTCAGGCAGGGTTTTTCCTCTCAGTGCCTCTTACCGAACACGAATCCTCAGAGAAGCGGGCGGGTGGACCCGCCAGCCCTCCTCAGCGCTGTCATATGCACAGAGCGGGCCACGGGGAGGGCGGACATCTTGGAAAGCAAGATGAGGGGGAGAGCAGGGCGCAGGCCGCGCACAGGTCTGGAGGGGAGGCTGGCTTGGCAACCGGGGGCTACCACTAGCCCAGGGCCACTGCCGGCCACCTGAGGGGGAGGAGAGGAGATGTGTCCTGAGCCGAGAGCCGGGCGGCCGGCAGAAAGCCTCCGGAGCAGGACCTGGCTGCCATTAGGGTGTCAGTGTAACTGCCTGAGTGGTCCTGGTAATTGTCATTGCAGCAGCCATCAACGCTGCCCTCAGCCTTCCTCTCAAGTACGGTTATGTGAGGAAATCGTAATTATGCAGACAGGTAAAACTGATACAATTTGGATGTGTAGAGACAATCTGAAATGCATTTGTGCCCTAGTTCGCTGTCAGAACTGAAAAACGTTTTTCTTCACCTGTTAAGACAGGTTTTAAAGTTCCTGATACAACCATACTTCTAAACCTGAACTAGTGCTTGGGCTCAACTTTTTTCAATGTTTTTGTAGTTCTGAAGCCTCGCAACTCAGTTGCCTGGGACCTATACAGAATAAAATTACAGTATGTGCAACAAGTGAGTCCTATCTGATGACCAAAGAGCGCATGACCCAGGCAGAAGAGGAGTCGCGCAATCGAAGTGCAAAGTTTATTAAACCTGGTGGACCATTTGTAGGTACGGTTGTATTTCATTTTTTACTGGATATCTGTAAGTTTTTTAAACTCAGTAATTCATCTTTTCAGCACGTATTTGGGAAAGGTGGTGTGCTCAGAGATCTCATGTGTAGGTAGCTTGCCCTCATGTTGCAGATTTGCAGCCTCCTGTTGCTACTTTTGGACATTAGTCCTTCTCTGTTCCCATATTGCTTACCTGATTAAAATTTTGACCATCGAAATGAGGGTTTTTACCACCCCATGCACTTAGATTCTCTGGTTTAGTAGCTAATGTTTTGGTTTTGTAACAGTACTTTTAAGTACCTAAATACTGTGCTAAACCATTAAGCTTAATTTGTAATCTAAAAAAATTAACATTGGGGAAGTCTCATGTACAAATTCATAAGCTTAATATGAAAAACTTTGCTTTTCACACTTGCTAATGCTGATTAAATTTTATTTATTTTATGTCGTGATCATTAATAAGCAACAATTACCACAGGACCATGTTTGTTTGGTTGTGTTTTTTTTTAAAAAAGTTAAAGTAGGGTAATGTTGGCACCTTCCCATGGATTTCATCGTTTTCCACAAAACAAAAAGCGTTTAGGAAGTATCATTCATTATTAAACAGTTCTGAGTACCGTTTCCCCGAGGAGCCTAGCACCGGCTGCAGGTAGATGCAAGGTGAGCATCCACCTTATAGGCATTCAGTGGTACAGGCAGCAGTGGTCCTGCCCACAGCAGTGAGCTGAACCAGGTACATCTGTCTTTATTACGTAGAACAGGCTCTCACTTGGCTGCAGCTGCAGCCCTCTGCCAGCACGGACATCCCTGACAGTGATTGTGCAATGCTTGCTCTGCCACAGCTTACTGCAGAGCATTTTAAGCCAGCACTGTCATGGCTTTTTGGAGATACACTTAGTTTTGTATGTGGCCTTGACGCTCAGGTAGCTTGGCATGGGTTGATACCAGGACACGGAGTTGGGACTGCTTCCCCTGTATTGTCTAAACTGCTCTTTTAATGGCAGCATGAGAGGAGCCACATGTATTTTAAAACTCCTCATGGGGGAAGTTCTATTTTACATGTCAATGGTCTGCATGATTCTTGTTGGTGGTTTAAATAGATCTTAAGTGAATATTTAACATTAAATAAATGGGTCTGAAGACTGGCAGTAGGGCAATTATGATATTTAGGGGTACTTTTGTTTCAGGCTGACATTGAGGAAGCTCAGGGAGGACAGGTCTAGTTGCTGGTAGGGCACAGGAGTGACTCTGCAACATGTTTCATGCAGTACAAATTAGGAACTCGGGTTGTTAATCATGTTAATGCTTGGTTATGTTTTCAGTTAATTTTTTTTAAGTGATTCAGTGACATGACTTTAGGAGGTGTTTTGGTTGAATGCTGCTTATACGATCAGCTGTGCTGGGGGGTTGTGTATCTACATTGGATTTAACTTGTCAAAACATTTGAAATGGGTTCAATAAGCAACTGGCAAGTTCATACTGTTCTAAAAATGTAATTGTGTGTGTTTGCACTATTAGGTTTGTTCTTAAAAAGCAGAAGGGCAAAGTCCAGGGAACATGCAGGGTGGAAAGGTTATAGAAGTTTGGCCTCCGCTGCAAAATGGAAACAAATTTTTGCTATTCCTGAGGTCGAGCAGTACATAAGCACAGCTCAGTCTCTGTGTGTCTGATAGAAGAGAACAAGCTACAGATTTTCTCACCAGTACTCATTAAGTCTCCCTCATGTACCAAACATGAGTTGCTGGTTTCAGAAGAATGCCTGGTTTGTGTCACATCCTCTGTTGGATTGCAAACAATATTTACTGCAATGATTTTCTGTAATATTCTGATAAAGCTTTTTTTTTTTTTTTTTTCTGTCGGATAGCAAATGCTATTTAAAAACGCAGAGAAGTTTGGGTCTTTTCTGGAAAACTGAGATTCAGGTTGGGTGGTGTTATTTTTAAATCCTGGATGCATCACTTGCAAGCACTTGGATTGTTCTTCCAGTTGAGAAACATGTCTTTTTATAGAGTTTGATCCAAAATGCTATGCAGGCCATGTTTTGAAACTTATCTGGCCTTGGTCCCAGGAAGTGTTAGATATTTGGTGTGTTGTTTCTGACAAACCTGGGCTTATTTAATAGGAGGGGAACATTTCAGCTTAAAATGTGGTGTAACTCAAGTGATTAACACCAAATGTTGGTAGTTGCTTTAAGCAGTGATGCAATTAATTGTGTAGAGTTGGTCTCCCTAGGGGTTAATGGGGAATCTTTTAATTAGATGAAAGACCTTTGCATCACACTTTAGAGTAGTCTTTAAAAAAAAAAAAAAAAAGAAAAAGAAAAATCCCTGATTTGGGGTATTCAGTGCTTGAGCTTATAAACTGGAAAAATAATAAAAGCACCATCTATAGAAGTAATCAGTAAAGTCTTCCTACTGCTCAATGCATCTTTACTACTTGTATTTTTATACATCTTGAAATGCTAACTAGATACAGTTTTCAACGTTTATCTGGCTTGGTAAAGTCTTTTAAATGCACTTTCTTGTGTTCTCCCAACCTCTCATGTCACTTCCCCCCCCCCCCCCTCTACGATCAGATAAAACTTGCGTGCTT